GCAGTGAAGCAAGAGAATAGTGTGGCCAGTGTTTACGGTGCACCACCCCGCCACCAGGGGGGAGGGGCATCTACAACCCCTCTCTCACCACATACAGCCAACTCTCGCATTTTAACCTCTCATACAGGTGAACCTTTTTATGCGCTAACTTTGTTTATGCTAGTCAGTGGCATTGCCCTGTCAGAAACATGTTGCATTAATATGACTTGCATGTCTTTTTGATTTTATTGACTGCAACATTTTGGACAGTGAAGTTTAGTAGAAAGTAGTTCCATTGCCCCACTGTTTACCTGAATATAAAATATTACTTGATTTGTTGGTTATAGAAATAACGTAATCTTTATTGGCCACATGTCATTTCATTACACATGCTGGCCATGTGTCACAGTAGCATATCACCAAACCATTAAAAAACTGTTTGACTGACAGGGATTTAATGGTCTAAATGATGATGCTCCTTTGTGCTACTGCAGATGGACATGTAGATTGTCTGTGCTGCTAATTCACTTCACATAAAATGAGGTTGTTGGCTGTTCACACTTTAGCAAAATTGAAGAAGACTTATGGGCCCTTCCATGTATGCCAGTTGAAACTTTCAGCTAGGCCCGCTGATGCCACCCCCATGGCTTCCCAGGGAATGAAGCAATCTTAGGGTTTGTCACTCCTGGGGTTCTTACCCTTTGGGGCTTCTACCACAAGGGTTGCCCAAGCAGGGCTCTTTCACTGAGGGTCTTTACCTACTTAGGCCTGCTCCCCTTTGGGGCTTTGTTAAACAAGATTTTATTCCCATAACTTGGCCCCAACCCTTTGGGATATTCCTCCCCCTGGAATTTACCTACCTAGCCCGGCTTTCAAAGTCCATGGCTTTGTCCTTACTGGACTTTAATCATTCTGGGTCAGAGCGGCCCAAGCATGATACCACCCCTAGTATTTTCCTCCAGGGTCTTGGTCACTTGTGAAACACTTTCAGCTGGGCTTGCCATCCCTGGAGCTGGCTTATGCTTTGGGTTAGTCACCTATGCATCCTGTTTCCATGACTTGCTCAACAGACTACATACCATGGTCAAGAAAACCTGGACTTGTCCCCAAAATTTGATTTTTTGTTCTATATGTCTCACTTTTTTTGGCTGGGATCGTGCTGCCCTATCAGTGGTCCTACAGACTACTCATTCTACCGTATAACAACTTGAGAATAGCAAATTGCTCTTTCATGAAATTTTGTATGGATGTTAAGCCTATGGATGCATTTACAGATTCATACCTCTTAACTTTGTACAGCTGATAATGCATGTGTGAAATGCTGAAGTTGTGAGGTGGGAGGGGATGATCCTATGCCAAGATGCCGTTATCCATAATGCTATCAATCAGTGATCATATAGGCTTCATTATGTCTTCCCCATTAATGGTCACATTAACTATTTGATGTCAATCCATAGGAGGACAGATGTTGCTCATGCTAACACTTAGCAGTGTTTATGTGAACTGTATGATCCAAGCTATGGGTTGCTTTATTTTTCTTCTCATTTTCTGCATAAAATGCTTGACTTTTATTGTGGAGGATCAGGGGATTTAAATCCCTTTACTATAAGGCTCACAGCTGGACTGTAACTTTAGAATTAATG